AGGCTCCTGCGAGGGGAAAAAAAAAAAATCAAAGTTGTTTCTCCATGGGAATCTTCCAATTTCAATGTAAATCGTCCAGAGAAAGATAAAATCAAATGCTTTAGTAGTGGGATCAATGTCTTTAGGTTTCGAGACTTAAAAACTAAGTATCCCCCCCCCATCCCAATGGAAGGACACCGATGGGTCCCCTGTGTTTTTCTCTGACACTTGCCATAGGGCAAGAGGAGACATCTCCTGGAGATGCTCCATGTCTGGAGGGAGGAATAAGGAGATTTCAACAGGTTACCTTTCTCCAATCCCTAGGAAATCCAGCAGCATTCAGTGGAGGGAGCCCCAAAGTGCTGAGATAAGGCTGAACCACCCTGTATCAGCCATCAGAGAATCCCAAGAGGGACAACGCTGTAGCCTGCTGAGCACAGCACATCACCTCCGTGGGTCTCCTGCACAACCCAGACCCAGACCCCAGCTCCCTCACCCTGGGCGGTGGCTCCCCTCCCGGATCACCCCCTCAAGGAGTCTTTATCCCACCCATCTTCGCTCTTTATCCACCGCTGCAGCACGGCCAGGTACTGGGGGACACTGGGGCGATGGCCGGGCTCCCCAGCAGCAAACCCACTCCCCCTCTGCCCTCCACAGAAACCCCCCCTTCACACCAGTGGTTGTTCCAGTGGGATAGCGGATGGGGCCGCATCTGCCGGGAATTTTTCCCGGGCACATCCTGGCTTTGGAGGCACCAGCATCCGCATCTTTGCGGTGGGGGGGCCAAGCGCTGCCAGCCCCAGGGGCCAGAAGGATGGGAGCCAGCCGTGCAGTTCACTTGGCAGACACTTGATGGGGCTGCGAAACCGATTACCGGCACACCTGGTACAAACGGGGGGGCAAAACAGCCTCTGCCAGATGTTTTGGGGTCCCGTTTTGTGGGTACCAGGCTGATGTGGTGATAGATGCCAGCATCCGCGCAGGATGCACCCGGCGCTCGGCAGCTTCGCTTGGGCTTTCAGTCGCCTCCTGGATGCTCTGCGACCGAGTGAGGATTGCCAGCACCTGGGCAAAGCTGGAGGTTTTTTCCCCAAAAGATTTTTCCATGATCTTTAAGCACTGCAGCGATGGGAAGGGAGAGCAGCAGCTCCGTCAGCCAAGCAGCATCTCCAAAGCACTGATTAATTTTTATGTTGCTGTTGCAAGACAAAGCGACCTTGTCACCTCCCTGCCTGAACCCCAGCTCTCTGCAGGCTGCTGTGGTGGGCATCGGCAGGATTTTCCCATGTTTCACCCCAAAGCGAAGGGAGGATGGGGAGATGGAGCCTGGCGAGAGGCGCAGCCCTGCATTGCAGAGCCCGCTGCGGGCGGGGGCCAGCCCCGAATTCCCCCAACACCGCTGTCAAACCGTCCGGCACAGCTCTAAATCCACCAGCCCTCGCCTGGCTCCAGCTGGCAGCAGCGTGCGGGAGAGAGCGGATGGTGAGAGTCAAAGCCTCTCCTGCTCAAGAAAAAAAAAAAAAAAAAAAAAAAAAAAGAATAAGAGCTGGTGGCCATAAATCATGAGCTGGTTACCGATGGAGGGGACTCCCCTCCTCTTGCTCCACACACTGCGGCACAAATTACGGCCCCGACTTCGCTGTTGTTCGGTGATGAACATCTGAAAAGGCTGTGACAGATGAGAAAAGGGATGATTTAAGAGCCATAAATCCAGGCAGCTTAGAGGTGTTTTTACAACCAAACCCGTCTCGAATCCTCTCTGTTATGAACACTTATCACTCCCAGACGCTACTACAATGGAAAGATTTTTAACAGCTTTAATAGAGACGCCATAAAACCCCCGGAGCCCAGCGAGCAAATGTCCTTTTTATCCCCGGAGGGAGGGAGGCAGAGGGGGCTGTGCCCATGATGTGCAGCACCTTCCTCCTCCTTGTGCCAGCCTCTCCCCCTGCAGTTACCCCCAAAATTAACTCTGTCCCAGCCAAAACCAGCACACCCACCTTTGGGGAGTTAAAATGAGACTTGGTCAGCCAAAGACCCTTCCTGGGGAGGTGCCACCCCTCCCTGCCCCTCGCCTCACCTAGTACACAGCATTTCAGTTAAAGCTCAGCGGCCACCACCCAACGAGTGGGACAGGGACAGGGACACTGCTTCCTGGCACTTTGAGGATGCCAGGAGACCTCCCAGTTTGGGGTTAAGTGGCCAAGCATCTCACTGCCTCTTGCTATAGCTGCTGCCCCTATAGCCCTCTATCCCATTCTGCAAGCCCAGCTAGCAACAGCGGCCAGGGGGTCCTGGGGATGCACCTGCTGCAAACCCGCGATAAGCAATTCATCGGACAGAGGGAACAAAAACCATCCCGGGGCACGTGGCTTCTGGTTTTCCACAGCTGGTCAGCTCGCCCCCCATATGAAACCCCAGGAAAACATCCAAGCGTGGGCTGATGTTTCCCTCCTGCAGTGGTGGAGCTGTGGAGTGCTCTAAGGAAGGTAATTTTTTAAAAAAGGAGCAAGGCAAGCTCCTTCCTAAGAGAAAATGGCCATGAAACCCTGCTCCTGGGCTATCGAGAGAGAAATCAGCGCTGCAGGGCGGGGAACAGGCTCAGCTTGGCTGTACGGAGACCTGAGGGGACGAGGTCTCTGAAGCCTGGGTGGAAAATGATGCTCACAGCCCATTAATCTAAGAGAACATCTTTTTTTTTTTTTTTTTCCTTAATAAGATAATACTGAGTAATTGATTTTTAAATACACTGAAATCAAATGTCCCGAGGCCAGAACAGGATCCCAGCTCTGCCGTCAGATCGGCGGCGACTGGCAGAGATGGAGCGCACAGGGGAAAAGAAAATAAAAATTAAATCTCCTCTGTGTGCTTAGCTGGCTGCGGGGCAAACACTAACGGTTCTTTAAAAGGTGCATCAATTTTTCCCTATTAAAAAAAAATAGGTCATCAAAAGGGAGAAGCTGGGGAAGGCACTGGGGACCATCCAGGTGGAGCAGGCAGAAGGGAGAAGATCCGTCTCATTAAAACACACAACAACAGCCGAGCGAGAAAGTAATTTTTAAGATCATTTATTCCAGTCTCTCTCTCACCCCATCCTTCACGCAGTCCCAGTCGAGAAGGGTTTATAGATTTTTTTAATGGTGTTTTTTTTTTTTTTTAGAAAAATACACATGCAAATAATATATACTTCACTGCTGAGCTTTTTTTCATGGTGGAAAAAAAAAAATAATAATAAAGCAGGATTCGGGAAAGATTTTGTTGGGGCGAGGGGTTGCCAGAGCAACTCGCCCCCCAAAAAAAAACCTCATTCTCCAGGTTTGGGAATAGCCAAGGGAAAGCCAGTGCTGGATCCCATCCTTCCTACAAGACCCAGCAAGGCGCAGAGTCCAGCTTAGGCAAAAACCCATCATTTTGATGCTAGGAAATGACTAGAAACTAAGAGTTACACAGGAAAAAAAAAACCTGTTACGGTATTTATCTCATGGGATACAGCTGGCAGCATTGGGAAAAAAAATGGACTGATGGACCCTTGAAACCTGGACTCAAGGTTTTTGGGGTAAGACCTTGGAGTTGGGGTTCTCTCTTGCTCTAGGAGCCGCTTTTCCCATCAGAGCCTTGCGGAGGGGAGCAGCGCATGTCCCCAGCCTCTTTGCAAATGCCATGCCAAGGTCCATGGGGGAAAAATAAAAAAAAAATAATAAATTGCTGGGTGCTGCCATCACTCTGGCAGAATTGATGTACTTAAGCCAAGGCTATTTCAGGGCTGATCGATGAGGGCCTGGAGCGAAGGCAGCGAGGGAAGGAGAACAATGAATCCAACACCACGGCGGCTGCGGGAAGCCAGGAGGCTTCGGGAAATGCTGCTGAGGATGCTGCAAGGAGCGGGTGCAGGGGGGATCTGCCTCGCTGCTTCTTTGCTGCCTACTCCCAAACTGCTTTCCCGCTCCTCTGCCTCCTCTCCCAGCAATCCCGCCCAGGGCCATGGCTTTTTTCCTCCTGGTTCAGGCTAATGCTATGGAGCAAAGAGTTTTTTCTCTCCGCCCAGAGGTACGAACCCACCCAGGCAGCACAGAGCAGCTTTCCCCAGGGAAGGGTTTCCCTCCAGCTCCCAAGGAAGGCAGCAGCAGCCCCATCCCTGTTCCCAGCAAGCCCCCACAGTGCCCATGTCCCCGGCCGGCGGTGACATCCCTGGATATGTGACACAACCCAGCGTCCTGCCAGGCTGCCCCAGAGTCTCCCCTCAGCTCCCGCATCCCCACCATCGCCGTCCTCAGAACCCACACGCTGTGAACACCCGGTTGCCTCACTACTGGGGGCGATGGGTCCAACTGGGGGCAGAGTCAGCTGCTCTCCCCCCAGCAG